TTCGTCACCAAAACCATCGTCTACGCCGCAACTCTCTTTGTATTTCTGACCGGTACTCTCCTTTTCTCCTTCCGTTTCTTCCGGTTTTTCCCATGACCACATTGCTAACAGTTATCTAACCCTCCTTCTCCAGCCTCCGTCCTAACGATATCATCCATAATCCAACCACGATGGATAAGTTTTCAAAGAGGCACCGTACGTTCCCACCCCGCACCGCTTTACAACCCTCGCTCTCTCTCCATCACTAACCTCCCACCCCCAACCACCCAGTCAATTGCAATAACCTACGGCCTCCACGTTCGCTGCATAAGCACCCCAGTCCCAACCCCGAGCCCGACTCCCAACTTCGCCCCCGCCTTATACCAAACCACCTGCTCCCGCTTCCCACAGTACGACGACTGCATCGGCACCGACCGCCGCTTCTGCTCCATGTGGCGCACAATTGGCTTCCTGATGTCCTTCGCCGTCCTCCTCGAAGGCATGACCCTGATCACCTACATAATCATCCTGTCCGGCGGGAAGCAGATACGCGAGCGCGGCTGGAGGATTCTGACGTTTTTTTTGGTGCTGGTGGGGCTTGTGCAGTGTTCAGGGATGGCGGTGGCGGTGAGCGGCTTCTTTTTATTTCTATTTCTATTTCTATTTCTATTTTTTTATCTTCAAGGGATTTTTGTTGGGGAAGGAAATTGATACTGATAATGTATATTTGCAGTCATACCTCCACGACAACGACGACCATTTCTACCTCGGTTTCCGCCTCGATGACTCCTTTATCCTCTGCACGGTTAGCTGGTGTCTAGCTCTCTTATGTGCCTTGTCCGTTTATGTTGCTGCTCGTGTCTTGCCGTCTGAAGGGGGGTATGAGTTGATACCTGATCCGGATAATTGATCGGGTGATTCCCCCCCCCCCCCCCCCTTTTTTTTTTTTTTTTTTTTTTTTTTTTATTTATTTGCGCCATTTACCTGTATTTCGTTTTGGGTGGTATGGTTATGATCAGTATGATACTTGAAAGGTCTTCATCTCCTTTGAGAGAGATACGCACACGCATATATATATATATATATATATATATTTAATTATGCAGGCAGCAGTGGATTTCTGTTCCTGCCTGGCATTTTGATTTTGTGGCTGCTGCTAGTTTCTTTACGCATTAAGACTTTGATAGTGTTTTGCGATGTGTAAGTTTGGTGATTATGATTTCTTTTGTATGTTTGAATGAATTGACTTTGAATCAATCATTGAATGCTTTTTGCCGACTTCATTGTCAGTCTGAATATGACAAAGCTTTGTCTCTCACCTTTTTTTTTTTTTTTTAATTCCCAAAATTTTTATAAAAATTTACTCTACATCTTTTGGTTAATGAACAGTGCTTCATATATTGCGCAAACTCACTTCCAACTATCTCTGTGTGGCCCCCCTCTCTTTCTTCATGTATCAATATAATTTTATTTTTAATGTCCATCTAATCCACTTTATGTATGATTGCTGTGCTATTACTCTACTAAAGGCATATATATGTGTATTCAGACAAGAACAGGCGCCGGGTTTCAACGGTGACCTACTTCATCCTCTCCCCTTTTTTCGTATTTCATCGTATAGCTTGATATCAACTTCAAAAGATATAAAGTATACACGTCCCATTTACCATAAACTATGCATATCTTCTTCTATCTATATCCCTCACATATACATATCTATTTCATAACCCTCATAAGAGAACAGATGTGTCTTTAAAAAAAAAAAAAACCAACACCCCTCATAACATCATAAAAACTCGCCCACACCCCCCCCTCTCCCCTCAATTCCTCAAAACCCCCTCCCAACACTCTAGCGCCCTCCTGGGCTCCTCCCCCCTCCCCCTCCCACCCCACGCACCCCCCTTCCTCACCACCCTAACAAAAGCCGGCAGAACCCCCCCCGTCCCCACCGGAAACTCCCTATGCCCCACCACCTCCAATAACGACGTAATCGCCCCCGAATGCGCCGTCAGCGACACATACTCCACACCCTGGCCCCACACCCCCCGCACGACATCATCGAGCAAGTTGCGCAGCCGCACCTTGCGCGCTGCATTCGACTCACGCAGGTCAGGTGTCCAGAGTGGGTCGGTGGGGGCGAAATGCGGTTCGAGGGTGTAGGTTGGGTAGGTGGAGAGGATGTAGGATGTTGGGGAGCGGCGGTCGCAGGTGTGGATTCCTAGGGTTTCGCGGAGGAGCTATATAGCAGGTGGTTAGAGTTGGACGTGGGGGCCTTTTCTTTTTTTTTTTTTTTCTTTCCCTTTTTCTTTTTCTTTTCGTGTGAAAGGTCAGAGTGGTTAGTTAGGGGAAATAACTACGATGGCTACGTACCTCTTTCACGATCGGTTTGAAAGCCCTGCCAGCCGGGAGGGGGAGGTCGCTGAATGTCAGGTTGGCGGTTGCCAGACATCTATCCAGCGGACTTGCGTAGTACAATTGTGGCAGCGGAATATGCTCCTTTATCTGCGCCCTCCATGCGTCACGCGCGACTAGCGCCTGCGCAATGCCTGTTTCTGTCAGATGCGCGTCGGACCAGAAGAGGTTGCCGTCGCCGTCCAGCTTGGACCAGTAGCGCTGTAACTAGGTTGTAAGTCCACCGTGTACTTTGGTGGGAAACATATTAGAGGAAGGGGGGAAGGTAGTGCATACGTCCCACGCCTCAGTCCCGTAGAGTCGCTCCGCGACGTTATGGAATCCCTCGCCATGTCGGCCGAGGTAGAGGAGCTTGAATTCGGTGTCGGGGTCTGCGTGGGCGTTTAGGGAGTGTAGTTTATATGCAAAGCGTTCCCATTGCGTCTTGTTGCGGTGCGGGTCGAAGGAGGCGTCTGTGTCGTAGGGTTGGGTTTTGAGGCCAAATGCACTTGTTGCCTGTTGTTTTTGTGTCCGCCATGTACGGGGTGGTTGGTCAGCTGTGATTGTTTTTCCTTTTGAAATGTATATGTGCATGCACGATTCTTGTTGCATTTGAGGGACTGGGTGGAGGACTCACGTAGTCGAAATCAGCGGGGTCGGTTTCGGGGTCGTCTTGCAGGAAGTAGCCAGGAACGGTGCTGTATTCGAAATGCGGGATGGCCAAGGGATCGTATCCGCCCATGGCGGCGAGGGCGATGAGGATAGTGACAGCGAGGAGGACGGGGCTGGACACGACGGTTAGTTGGATTTATTTTATTTTATTTTATTTTATTTATTTATTTTTCCTTCTCCACCTCTTTTATAACCGTTGCTGAAGCGCATTCTTTCATTTTTTGATGCCGCCAACTTGGCTCTAAAGGGAGGAGATCGACAGTAGTACTTAAATAGAGGCAAGCAGTTGGATCGAGAGAGGTCCCCTTAACTTACATGACAATCTCAATACGGAGAGACTTTTGCAACCTCCTTTTTAATCTCTGCCTTCGTTGCAGACCTTCCGAGAAATGGAACATTTGGCAACGATCTGGGGCGGGGGTGAAGCGGGAAGCCTAATCACGGCCCCACCCCGCAGCTAGCTGGTGCAAGTTGTTCGTGCAGGGCTGGGCTTGGACGTGTGTTGTCTCCTGTTGATTATTTGATTTGAGACAAGCGGACTCTGGCGGGGGGACTCCAGGACGTCATCCAACCACGAACAGGGGAGAGCCTTATCCAGCTGCGGGGGTCCCTGAAACAGTCCAGCTATGATTAGTTACTCCCGAAAATGCAAGCAAATCCAACCTTGAATTGAGATCTATCTCAGTTAACCAGCAGAAGTAACTAACTGGTTGGTTAACTAGTTACCAGATTGCGCGCGATGCTAATAAAGAGCCGGTTTGATAACCTAGCAGCTCTCTATATCCTAGTGGGATGGCTGTTCTTCCTGTCCTAGTTTCCCTCTTTTCCTTCTTTTCGTATGTTGCTTCGCTGCATTCTTCTGCTTCTTCAAACAACTGCAGATATAATCAGTTACATTTCTCGATGAGAGAAGTGCTGTCGTCAGAAATGCATCGTCTCCGGGCCGCAGCTGACTGAACCGCAGTGGTAACTATTCAGTGAACAACGTGAAAAGCCAGCTCTCGGCAACCCTGGACTCTCACATAAATGCTGTCATTCCTCATTCCTCATTCCTCATTCTGGATTCCTTTTCTCCTTTTCACCAACAAACATCTTTCCCCCCTTGATTCATATTTACAACGATTTGCTTTTGGTTGCCTGTTTTCCCTGTTTTATAGCTATCATTGGGAAATTGCCTACCTAGGGCATACCAGATCGGCCTGTTGCTACCACTCACATTGTCGCGTATGTCAAAAACATACAGAGATTCCATTGCGCTGTGGCGCTCTTAAAGGCCAACATGTTGTGAACTCACTTCAGGTCATTCCCCTCTGTCCAGAACCTGTCCTAGGCATCAGCAACTTATTGGGATGTTGTGGGGCATCATCTCAAATATACCCGGCATGGATGGTGCAACCGGGCTGTTGACCTCCGGCAGCGGAGGCATAGAAGGCTCGTATTTTTAAAGGATTACTCTTGTGAAAGGATATGGATATTGAAAGGGGAACCTATGACCAGCTTGACCCAGGTACGGTACCTTTGTCTGTACTTTTGCTCTTACGATCCTTTTTTCTTTTGCTGCCATGCAAACAATAGCAGTCATGCTCTATTCTAAGGTTTCTTGTCTTGTTTTTAAACAACGGTTTCTCTTTTATGGTTTGGGAGTTATTCCGATGACAAAACCTGTTATACCATCCGTGCTTTAGGATGTTCAAACAATCTGGAACTTTGTCGTTCGTTCTTTTTGCTACGGATAGGAGGAGTGAAACGTCTTTGGCCTCTATGTTCCTCCCTCGCGCTGTACATTTTGGGGTTTTCTTTGGCTCCTGTAAATGGATGGATTCCTTTACTTTTTTCTGATATTAGAACTTCCCATGTCTTAGTGCCCTCCTATGTTTTGGAGAATGCCTTTATACATGGCTTCACTCTTAATCCTTGGTTATATTCCCACGCCCATCAGGACGACCCCGAGATATCCTTCAAACTTCCACTTACTGTGCTGTCTTCTGCACTGGCATTCTAGGATGTGCCATAACTCTGGCTTGGGATTCTGAGAGAAGTCTGCTGCCTGCGTTACTCAGAGACTCACCTGGCGCATTCGAATGGGGGGAAGTAGATTCACTACCTCTCCGCGTCATTCCCTGACGGGCACATCATAATAGCCGTCAACTCTTTCGAGAGTGATTCTTCACAAAGTTTTGAGCACAGGAATAGCAAGTTTCCATCACTGGGAGTGTGATCGTGTCTTGAGAATTCCAACACTTATAAGCTTTCCGTTTTCTCTGCTCTTTCGTTCTTACTCTCAACTTCTTCTACTCTCCACCGAACTCTCTTCGGAAGACGTCTTCCTGTACACGGATTCGATTCGATACTAACCTCTTCCCTTGTGTCCACCTTAGCCCTTTCATACCCTGTTTATACCTGAGGTCCTTTAACTCCCTGCTCCTTGTTATCCTGATATAGCTTACAAGGCTCAAAGAGCTAATCCCCTAATAGGAGATGGCAACATCCATGCCAGAGCATTTCCAAACACCAACCCCCTGCCAGTTCAGCGGTGAGGCATGCTCCACTGAGTCAAACCACTATCGTAAAGTGATTTCACATATTTTCGGGAGAAACAAGAAATGTACAGTTGGTATTCCACACTATGTATGGATATACTACTGCCGGAAGCACTACCAACGTGCACGCTACCGGACTGCAGAGTGGCCTTTCCGCCAGTGCGACCTGGCCGTGGACACCATCCAGAACATGCGTGCGTGGGGTGGCGTGGAGAGCTTCAATATACAGCTCCGTCGACGAGAAACCCAACGCACGGGTCTGCAAGCCAACCTGAATGAAGTTGGTGACCAAGTTCAGGGGAAGCAAGACGAGGATGATGATGATGATGATGATGATGATGATGATGACGACCAAGATCAAGTCGACCAGGCTAAAGACGAGGGCATGCCGGATATCAAGACAGAAGAGCAAGAGACTGTTCATACATCTCCAATCCCGAGGTACGGTGGTTTTACCCCAATCAACACCCCTCAGGTCAGCCCTCCAGTGAATAGGGATTCGGATACTGAAGGCTACAATGAGGAGGAGGAACTCCAAGCCACAGCGCAGACCGCGCGAGCAGCACTACTCGTGAGAAAGAAACGCAGTCCAACTATCATCGCGCACCCGGTCCCCGACTGGCTCATCCGTCACGTCGGCAGTAAAAAGACCTTCGACGAGATCCTCGCCGTCCTGCGCAACCTCCGCACCCACCTAACACAAGTGGCCCAGCGAGACCAAATCCCTCACTTTCCAGATATCGAAATCCTGCCAAACCTACATCCCCGTGCTGCCGCAACCCGTCGCCCCATCTGTCGTCGTCCCACTATTCGTCCCCGTCGCGGCTCAGTTGATGCCCCTGGAGCTGCTGTTATCGCTGCCACTACAGCTTCAGCTTCTACTTCCACCGATCCGGACCCTGGCCCTTCGATTTCCACTTGCACCAAACGCATTGTTCCCCGTCTCACCCTTCAACCCCTCACTGCTCTCAGAGAAACAGCCATCGCTCAGAAGACGCCTACCACCGAAGCTCTCTCTAAGACACACCACCGTGCAACTCGACCCAGCGCCAGACCGCCCTCTGGACCCAGTGTTGTCCACGCCAGCACTGAAGTTCGCCATGGTAATGGTGACGACGATGCAAGCAATGATTCCATCAACTTCGCTATTCGTCGCGCGTTTCGTGGAACCAAGATGGCCGGCAATCGGGGTCGGCGGTCCGTGAGGGTTTCCGATCACGGTGCGGTGAAGAAGGTGGAGAAGGGATAAAAGAAGAGCGAACAAACGGGAAATGAGATAACTACCGGTTTCAGATGGTCTGGAGTTGACATGGCTGTATTACCTATAGTACAACAGTGTGAGGAGAGAAGAGTAAGGCGGAAGGTATATTAAACATGTTTGTTTGAGGAATCAGACGGTGCTACTATTCCTCCATTCTCTTTCAGGTGTTAGCAGCTAAATGTGCCCTCATCACTTTTCTGATAAGTTTTCCTTTTCTCATATTTCACCACCACCTATATTCCTTGTTTAATTGGTTTCTTGCCTTTTTTTTTTTTTTTTTTTTTTTTTGCGGGGCTTTAAATTCCCCTTGGTCGTTACCAGTCAGCCTCAAAGTTTGCTTTCTTTTGTGTTTTCTTTATCCATGATACCCCTGACCACAGACACACACACACACACACACACACATACACACACACACTTCCACGTTTGCGGCGTCTGTGTTCGGGCCTTTTGATGTGTGTCGCCTAGTGGGAGATTAGTTATATGATCCGATATCATTGACCATATTCCCACTATTTGGTTTTCCCGTTTGCTTTACATTCATTTCAGGTTATGGTTATGTTACTGATCCATCTTGTTGGTCCTTGTCACTTCCACAACTTCTACTATTTTCTTCCAACTTCCTATCTTGGGCGATATTGATAATCCATTTGTATTCCATTGGATTTTGCTGTGAGGTAACTACATCATTGCTTTATTTTTAGCAGCACTCAGCGTGTGGTATACTAGTACTGTTCCCATGATATATCCCTCATATGCATTCAGCAGAAAGGTCTACGCCTTTTATTTTCCTTTATTTCAATTGCCTCAAAATATGCAGATGCGCTTCTCTGGCTTTTTTTTTTGGTTCTCTTGTGATGCTTTTTGTGTCTTCAAATCACAGTGTTTTGACTTTTCTTAGCGCCCAGCCCTTTCTATCCTTGGATGTGTTTTAGTTATATCTGAAAGAGAGGCTTTATTCATTCTCCTTGTATTTACTTAAAAGTTAGTAGATACTTGAGTGAATTATTTAATTTAAGTATAATTAAATTTAAATAAAGGATAGCGTTCAGGAGCTCATATATAACTAGAGGAAAACAAGTAACAAGGACTTAGGGTTTTAAACGTTGGGTTCTTAATTTGGAAGGGCGCTGCTCTCTGATGTGTCCTGAAGGTCATGGAGGGATGATAGTTCTCTCAGGAAAACCCAAAAATCGAATCAGGATCCGCCTTAAAAGGTTGGATCGACAAACAGGATCACAAACCGGGATGTAATTAGAGCTCCAATGCAGTGTGTTGCATGTTTTTGCATTTGAAAGGGAGGACAAGGACACTGCGCAGCTAGGTGAGAACTGAATGATCTTGAAAATGTCTTGTGTATGGGATGAGTGAAGCTTTAATTACTAATACTTTCTTTCTGGAATACAATGCTATTTATTCTTCTGTTCATGGCCTCATCTACCCTCATTAAGGTATGGCACTGATATTCAAATTACTGCACCGCACCGTGTGAGGTTAAACGCTGGTTGTTGGCCCACGTCCTCATTTAGGGAATAGTCCTCATATTGCCGTACACTCGGAGCTTGAGCCAATGATCACTGGCTTCTGGAATATTGTGTCGCATCAGCAACCGGCGTGTCAAATTGCTGCATGCTAATACCCCGGCATATTGTGTTACATCAGCACCCGGCGCGTTGACCTGTTGCATGCCGTAGAGTTGCGTATCAACGAACGGGTTCTGCGAGTTTTGCGCGTTTGACCTCCTTCTCTCTGATGCAAAATGTGGAGCTACGAACTGACTCCCACTCTCTATGGAAGGCATTCTCGGTAACGTATTCCCTGTTTCTGGCCCACCTGATTCCACTCCGGTTATGCTGGTTTGTTTCGCACGTGCCATACAAATTTAGTGTCGAGGGAATCCATGTCGTATTGTTTTGATATGGGCTTGGTGCGGGTAAGCTTGTAATAGTTGAGGTGCTTATTCCAATCTGAAATTTGTCAGATAACCCTTGATGGTTATTGATATTCTTTTCGAAATTTTTCGAAGAGTTAACAGATCCAAGTTGTGCTTTGTGGCCCTGTGTGCGCCTTTCTTTTTCTTTTCTTTTTCTTCTCTTTCATTTTTTTTCTTATCTTCCTTCCTTCCTTTCTTTTCTTCTTCTTCTTTTCTTTTCTTTTTTTTCCCCTGGGAGGCAGTTTCAAGGAGGATACGGCCCGGATTTGCTTTCCATTCCAGCTACCAACTTGTGGTGAGTTCGTGGGTCGAGTTTGAGGCGATAAAGGGCGGACATATTCCTCACGGATTTGCATATATGCCATTGATAGTGAATCCTGCATAGAGGAAGCGTGCAAATGTTCTTTGTATGCACTCAGCGCTCTGTTTTCAATCGATATCCATTTTCTCCGCCCAAACCTAAGGTGATCTGCTTAGCTGGAAGAAGTTGCTCTCTTTTATCAGCATAACTAACCTTAGCACTGCAATGGATTCCAGCGAATGAGGAATGCAGCGGGGCTTGATTTAAGCCCTTTTTGCCCCTGGAGTAATGTGTATGTAGCCTCAGGTGGTGTTTTTGGGTCTCTTCCTTCGGGAGCTGACACAATCTTTTCCGTGACACTGCTAGAACCCTTGAGAGTATCTTTGTGGGCTTCTGAGGTTCAATGAATTCCTGATGGTTCTTTTTGTACTTCGAATCCTGGGTTCTCACTCCTTCGGTCAATTCGAAAATTTTGATGGAATGACTACGCGCCGTATAAAGTTGACATACTGAATCTGCTGGTAATCATAAAAGCAGAATTCGATAGGCCCATGCCAGCCAGAAAATTCTATTGCTTTTAGGTCAAAAAACTGCCTAGGTTCTGATATTCAAAGCACTGCCAATTCTTTGAGCACCTCTGACTTTTTATCGTCAAGCTCCTACTTCTCAGTTATGGTGGCAAGTGAGGAAATCTATTCATCAGATAAGGCTTGACCCTTTGACCCTTTGATGTGAAGCTGTGAAAGAATTTTCATATCTTGTGACCTGGTGTGAGTTCTGGTGCTGATTGCTGCAACAAAAGCTCTGCATCATCCGGAGAATCGCATATGGTCTTCAGAAAATTTCCAATGTCCTAGATATTCATTTCTAGATTACTAGCAAATTAGTGGTAATTCGCTTCCACTAGAAGATCTTGGAGCTCGAACCGTTCTGATAGTTATGACCTGGATGGCCTGTAACAGCCAACGACCCTAGTGAATCAGAATCCTATATTCCCTAGGCGTTTTGCCCGCCGTGAAGCTGACCGGACCTGCCAAAACTCTAGGAGATATTACTATAGTGATTCCTAGTGAAGATGTCACTACCCGAAGAAGCGGCGGAAACTGGGGACCTAGTCAGATCTAGGATTATTCTTTGCCAATCAAGGGATTGGGATGCCTGGGTTAGTGACCCAGGTGAAGTCAGTAGCTCACGATCACAAGGTGCTTCCCTAAATCCCTCGAGTGCTCCATCGCTGAAGTTGGATGGAGAGAGGAAATTCCTCAGGCAACTGCCCTGCAAATCTGTTGAAATGGAACATTCCAAAGGCAACTGAAATTGGAAAAATGCAGAAAAAGAACAAGAAGGAAAACACTTTTTTTTGAAAATTTATCATTCATGATTTTACCTCCAATTTTCTTCAAAGAGAAATGGCAAAGACCAAAAGAAAAGGAGAAGAAAAGGAAGGAATATAGAGAGAGCTGACTGTACAGGAAAAAGAAAATAGCATCTCACAATTTCACAACTGCTGATTGTCACATCAACACTATTCTCTGTCAATGCTATGAATGAGTATCTTCATCATAACTATAACACTGATCCTGATCCAAGTTTTGAATTCTATGTTGAAGTGATGTGATGAGGATCAGCATGCCAATAAGTGGCGATTGACCCAATATAAAGAGCACGGAATCAGGAATCCGTCGTATACCAAGTTGTAACAAGAGTTTGCATGAAACAGGTTCCGATGATTGGAGGGGATTGCAATGGTCGACTGCTATTCGCCAAACATTCGACCCTCAATGGAGGGCAAGATATGAATGGGGGCCAGAATATCCGCACGGAAAAACACGTGTAAACGGCTCTTGGATTTCGAAGGAAGAGTTTTGAGAACTGATTTCTGGTGTACAACAAAATCAGAGGTGTGAAGGAAATGGGCCTTTGCTTTCGCACAATCATCAAGATGACGGAACTTCGGGGACTCGAGCAGCTACATTAGCTACCTGTACATACAACGGCTGATACAGAATTTAAACCTTGCTTGAAGAGCAGTGGCTTGGCTTGATGAGAACCTTTCCCGGTCATATGGAATTTCAGCACCCCAATTATATCCACAGTTGCAGCAACCAAAGGGGAATCGCGGGGCTCTGCCGTGGGCTGTGAGCAAGTCCCATGATGGCACTGGTTCGGAGGACAAAGTAAGTTCCTGACTTGAATCCTGACTCCTTTTAAAGTCCAGTTTTAAAACAATGAAGCAAAGTGGAACGTTTGAGGCCAAAAAGGTGTGCTTAGTCAGGGCTGACTGAGCAGCTGAAGTCCCTAACTACGTAAAATCAAACGTACCAATATTCAACAACAGACAACGTCGAGCTCAATCAATACAACATCAAAGCATTGCAATGATCGATGTGGTTGATGGTTAGTGGTTCTTTGGGGGATTGAGTGCTTGCTGCAAGATCGTATTTTATCTGCGATTCTTCCTCAGTTCATCTCGATTGTATTCTTTATCCCTGACATGGAGCCTCTGGAGCTGCATTCAGAGGTAGCACCCAGGGCACACCCACAACCTAATCATAACAAAGTCTCTGCCATCTTGACAGTTATAGTTTGATCTGTTCTCTAGGTGATGAGGCTGAGTTACGCAGCCTTATGAAAGAATCATTCTTTCTTGTGTTTTTGTGTTGAGCAAACTTTTGATTGTGTCTGATGTTGTTTTCTTGTTTCTTCCGTTTCTTTTCTTAAAAAGACCTACCTAAACTCGCAGAAATACAAAGAAGATTGTTTTTTGGTCTCAGGAAGCCCTTATTTTGGTATTCTTCTTCTTCTTCTTCTTCTTCTTCTTCTTCTTCTTTTCCATTTTCTTTTTTATTTTCATTTTCAATTTTTTAGTTCAAATGGCTTCTTTCTACTCGCGGCCTCGAACGTCTGCAATTCCAATCATAGACCCGTCTGGCCAGCAAGTCTCCGTTCAGGGCTTGAATCGCACTTCTTCTGCAAATATATCGCAAAATCAGTCAAGAGCACAGACAAATGGTGTTCAACCTGCTGTATCTAGTAGCTCACCAGGCCAACATCCTTCGATTCAGGCTTATTCAGCTAGTTATGGAGCCCCAGGAATAAGTTCAAGAGTTCAAAACAGCCGCCTTGGGTTCCAGGGATATCAACTGGGTTATCATCTTGAGCGAAGGAGGGAGACATTCACGGAAGAACCCCACCAATTGTCCCATAACCCACACTTCCCTGCATCGCCAAGTCATAGACCCATGTACGATGGCACCAACCAACCAGGCGGTCGTTCGATACCCTGGAAACCAGATGTATATGCCAGTAGTTACGTTCCATCGCATCTTCTCGCCATTAATCGATCACCAGCGGTGGACAGGTATAGCACTCTCCTGAAGACCATCGATTTCTCGAGCTACGTTACTAAGTTTTCAGGGTCGTCCTTTCTGGAGCCCTTGCCTGTTGAAAATTTACCCGCACTAAAGGATGTTCCGGTCTCGATATCCCGTCACACCAAGAATTTGACGCCAGCCTCCTATCTTTATTACTTCGATGAATGCCTTCTCCTGGAAGGGATGAACTATTCTCAGGAGCTAGGGAAATACAACCTCTATAACGCTTTACTGACTCCAACCGATGGCAGACAGAATCTTTATAGCTTGCATGTCCCGGGTCTTAAAGATGGTGCTCCAACAGTTGGGCTAGGAGATATCGTACTGGTTCGACAGATATTACCATTTCCGCAGCTCGCCCAGCAAGGAAGCGAATGGCTGAGCCATAACAACACGAACCTCACAGGTTCCATTGCACCAGGATTTTCGGGCCATCAACTTCACGCCGTTGTATGGGGGATATCTATGGCGAAGGAAATGCTCATACTCCGAATCGATCATCTTTTGCCATCATCTCGCCTCTGCAATAGCCAATTTACAGTCCGGCCTGATCTGTTTGTGCCTCTCTGGAGAGCAGTTGTTGATGTTACCGATGGCCGGCCGTGGCATCATGAAGATGTCAAAAACGAGCTTGCGGGGTCACTTGAGAACAAAGAAAATTGGCTGCGGCACATGCTATTCCCAGAACCTAAGGATGCTGCATTGCAAACAAAACTTCCAAAGGGGTCATTCGAACACGAGTGGGTGGATAGAGATCTTAATTACGAACAGATGAAGGCAGTCGATTCTATCATAACTCGCAATTTTGGTACTATTCCCTTCCTGATATCCGGAGTGCCTGGGTCCGGTAAAACGAAAACTGTGGTTGAATGCACTCTACAACTCCTGCGCCAACAAGATAGAGTACAACATCATATTTTACTCTGTGCGCCATCCAACCCAGCGGCAGACACGCTCGCAATACGTCTAGCTCAGCATTTACAGCCTTGCGACTTATTCAGATTAAATGGGTGGTCACGGACGTTTGCGGAAGTCCCCGACAAGCTGTTGCCATACACCCATACAGAGTTCGACCTCTTTTCACTCCCAGATTTTAAGACGATGATGAACTACAAGGTAGTCGTAACGACCTGCCAGGAAGCACACATGCTTGTTAGGGCTCGGTTGACCAATCAAGACCTAATGAAATTGGGATACGAGATGTTTAGTGCTATTTGCCCAGGGACAAAACCAAGGCCACAGGAAATGCTTCACTGGACTGCCCTTATTGTGGACGAGGCGGCGCAAGCTACAGAACCAATGGTCTGCGTTCCACTAACGGTAGTTGCGACACCGTTATGTATCAGGGAGCCCATTGGCGGGACTAGACCAAGGTCTTCTTTGCCACTATTCGTCATGGCAGGGGATGAGCACCAGTTAGGCCCCCGAGTTTCAAACACCAACACAGCACTATCAGTGTCTCTATTCGAGAGACTCCTTTCACGCCCAGTTTTTGCCGACCATCCTCTTTCCCGCCGAAATGCTGGACCCTATAAGAAACTGACACAGGATATGCTCCCAATGCCACGACCGGCCTTTACAAACCTTGCCCGCAATTACCGCTCTCACACTTCTATACTCGCCATGCCATCCGTCCTATTTTACAGCGACACACTCATCCCATCCGCCACCCCGGCCCACCCAGACGGACCGGTCCCATCCTGGCCAGGCTGGAAAGCCCCACACCGCTGGCCCATCCTCTTCGCCTGCAACACCTCTCCCGACGACGTCGAAGAAGTCATCCGAAACCCCGTAGGCAGCGGCCTATTTAATGCTGGCGAGGCCCTCAAAGCTTTACATTTTGCACAGTCCCTCCTCGCCCACTCCGCCAGCCTAACCTACCACACCAAACCCCAAAAGTCCAGATCCAAGTCCAACAGCACCCACCAAAAACCACTAGCCCTTTCAACAACCTCTGCCCGCCCAATCACCGAGCAAGAAATTGCCGTAATAACACCCTTCCTCACGCAGGTGACGCATCTCCGCCGCCTCTTCCGCCAGCACAACCTGCACTCCGTCAATATCGGTCCCGTCGAGGCATTCCAGGGCCTCGAATCGCGCTTCTTGATAATTTGCACAACACGCACGAGGGCTGAGATGCGTTTTATCGAGCAGGACCAGTCGTTGGGCTTGGGATTGGTGGGGGAACGAAGGCGATTCAACATGGCCATGACACGGGCGAAGGAGGGATTGATCGTCATTGGAAATCCGGATGTGTTGGTTGGTGTTTCTAAGGATGAGACGTGGAGGGAATTTTTGAACTTCTGTGCGCGCAATAAGTGTTGGGAGATTGATGGACGGAGCGAGGAGGCGAGGAAGAGTACGCAGGCGTGGGCCGATAGGTTGGCTGGGAATCATCAACGTGGTGGAGGTGGACAGAATGGAGTTGATATTAATGGTAATGGTGATGGTGGGGCTGGCGGGGAGGGTGGGGAGGATGATATTAGACTCGAGGGGTACGTGAGTCGTTTGGAGCGGGGGTTGATTTACGCGGAGAATGCGGAGGGCGACGACGATGATGATGCTGATGATGGCGATGATGATGATGAGGGTGGTTCTGATTCTGGGCGGGTGGATGGGGAGGCTTTAGGGAATGGAGCTAACGGTGGTGTTGGGCCGAGAAGGGGGAAGAAGAAAAGGAATAGTCGGCTGGGTAAAGAACGTAGTGCGCATGATGACTATGATGCGGCTATGTGGACAGCTGGGATTGCGGCGGAGGAGGTGTTGAGGGGTTCACTGGATGATTGAGTTGCGGTGTCATGCTTTTTGTCTCACCCTTTACTCACTTTTTGTTTTTGTTTTTGTCTTCTATTTCTTGCTACGGACGGAGGACATTTGAGCAATTACGAGGCCGGGGGTTGGCTTTCTCTGCTTTTCATTTCTTGTTTCGCTTTCTGTTTCTATCCTTTTCTTCCTTTGCTTTCCTCTCATTCCTTCCTACCGTTCCGTTTCTGATATTTGCAGATGATCACAATGTGGACCGACATCAGTACGATAGCCACAGGAAGCTGCATTTATTAGCCTAGCTAACTCGCCCCAGCCCTATCGCAAACCTTGTCAAGGGGTAGGGCAAAGCTCAAGACCGCTGAGGGAGGGATGCAGGAAAAACGAGCAATCAAACCCTCAAAAAATCTAGAAAAAGCCACCGAAAAAGAAAAAGAAAAAAAATTAAAAAAATTAAAAAAATATATAAGAAAATTATATAGAGAAAAGACCAATACAAAAAAAAAAAAAAAAAATGAAAAGGGTGACAAAACTGCAGACAACATGTGCATTGAGGAAGAGAATGCAACATCCGTGTTATTAGGAAGCTATGCATATAGCTATAGCTTGTAAAAAGACGCATTGCTGACTGAGCTACGTAGACTGGAGCAAAATTGCCATTCTCCGCCTCGGAAGAAGGGAGAGTAACTGTGCTATCTGCCAATAAACGCGGGGAGTGGGCGGTAGATGAATGCCTCCTGCATCACCACGCATCAGATAGAGGGGAACTGCCACGATCCAATAGAGTCAAGGACATGCTGTTACTAACTTACTACAGAGTAAGTGTAACTTCCCCCTTGCAGAATGAATAAGATATTGAATGTGGTAGTAACGATGTTGAAGAGTAGAATTCAGATCTGAAACTGATTGAATACTGGACATACTCATAAACACAGACATTGATATCCCCGTATTGCTCGATTGTGCTCGATGTTGAAAGGTTGACGTTTGGATGACTCCGGACCCACGTTATTCCCGATCCGGCGAGCGCTAACCCATAACGGGCCCGGACTAACCATGCTCCGGGGCTCCAATGAGGTTCAACGGAGTGATGACTCAGCCAGGGGGCTGGGAGCTCCGAGGGATTTCAGATAACAACCCCAACGACGAACAAAACGACATTCATTCATCTCCATACTCAAAACTCCAGCAATTACATGTACAACATCGACTCTGTGCAGGCCAAACCTGCAGGTGGAGGATAAAAGCAGATCCATGGCAATCTTGCTTCGTTAGCCGTTGGCAGCAACTTGCCAGCAACTTGCAGGGAACACCAACCCACAATCAAGGAACATTGGAACCCTTGGAATTCCTCCTGGCTTTCTCCTCGACTTGCCCCCTTCCAGCCAATCCGCAGCTGTATCTGCCGCAATCCTCCTCGCCTAGGACGCCAACCCGCCCTGCTAAATAACGTCTCTAACAGTTCTGCTCCACTCTTTGGCTTCTTGAGCCCCGCCAGCGTCATTCCCAGCCTCTTTTGCCTCTCAACCGCGCAAACCAAAACACTAGGACAAGCAAGAGAATAAATTAAATAATCAACGCTTCGCTCCTCGCATATGGACAGCAGTCATTCTCCCCAAATCCTTATTCTTTATAATCACTCATTCTTACGAGGATTGGTTTCCTTTGAACCACCCTAGTCGCTCGCTCACTCACTCACTCACTCTCTCTCTCTCTCTGTCTGTCTCTCTCTCTCTCACCAGCCTTAAGCAGACAACGCTTTCTCTCATTCTAACCGGCTTACGTTACTTATCCACTCATTGGACCTCATTGGACACTTACATAACTGCATTCGCGCTCCCTGTCATCATTGGCCCTGGCTGTGTAGCTACCCTCCGTCTTCCCATTTATTGTCCGAAAGACGCATGCAGGAACAACGGGTGCAGTTAACCACCATATTGTCTATTCCATTTTTGCTAACATAACATTCGCTCGTTCCCACATTTGTACAACCGTTTTTTCGAAAAAGAAGACTATCTTTTCTATAAGCCAATTTCGCTATCTTCATAAAGCTGAAAAGGAACCTGACATTACCAGCCCTTCTGAAACTTTTGCTGCATAGCATTCACCTGCCATCATGGTCGCCAAACTGACAAAGGTGTCCCAGCTGCCACAGCATACAGCTGGCATCTTTGCGGATATGTCTATAGACGGTCCACCCATAGGGACACTGGTTGCCATTATCGACCGGGCGAAAAACCTGCCCAATAGGAAAACCATGGGCAAGCAGAATCCGTACTGTGCCGCGCGGCTGGGGAAGGAGGCAAAGAAGACGGAAACGGATATGCGGGGTGGCCAGAGGCCAAAGTGGTAAGCAAATGGAATGATCTCATCTGAATTGCTTTCGTTTGATTTAATTCATGTTATCCAATTTATAACGATGCTTGTTTCTTTTACGTCTAGGGATCAAGAGTTGCGGTTCACAGTGCACGAATCGCCCGATTACTATCAATTAAAAGTATCCGTCTTCAACGACGATAAGAAGACTGACCTGATCGGTGAAACTACTATCGATCTCAAGAATGTTGTGGTTCCAGGTGGTGGGCAGAATGACCTCTGGCATGGATTGCAGTGCAAGGGGAAATATGCTGGGGATATCAGGATCGAGTTGACCTACTATGACACCCGACCTAAGGATGAGGCGGTAATCGAGCGGAGAAAGGAAGCGGAGAAAGTAGAGACAAGAGCAGAGACGGTACAGTCAGGACTCTCCGGTCCTCGCCAAGCAAAGCCCTCGAAACGAAGACCTCTGCCCGCGGATCCCACCGGCTCGTCTCCTTCCCGTCCACCGTCGTCTGATCGTGTTGTTCCTCCCCCTTCAGCTTTACGGGAGAACCATTCTACACCTACTCGACAAACAATACAAGAACCACCTCCCCAGTCAACGCCTCCTTCTCAATCCCAGCGAGCCTACGAAACGCCCGATGATTTCCCAACGTCAATGGGGTCCCACACCCCCCAAAATTACCTCGAAACACTCGACCCCTACACATCAGTCCTATCAAAATTCCTCCCCTCGAGAAATTCAAGAGCTGCCGGTCGATCAGTACGGTCGTCGTTCCCAGCATCCCATCACTTCTCGAGAAATGGCCTACCCCCAAGTACCAGAATATTCCCCACAATACTCACCACCAGTCACTCGACCATAGCCCGCTACATAACATAGGTCAAAATGTCTACGACTATCCCCTGGAGCCAACCCCAATCCCTCCACCCCGAGACTGCTACCAGACCCCACCACGACAAACGACCTATTCCATGCAAACACCAGACCGCTACAATACCTCCCCTTCCTACCCTCCACCATCTCGAGGCTCTTCCTACGCAGCCACAGACTCACCACAAACACAGCAATCCCCGGAGCCCCCAATCAATGCCAGCCCAAACGATCGACGGAGCCACTACCACCGCTACAGCACCTCGCACGCCAACAACGATGTCTTCCGCGACAGCCCGCTCCGTCATTCCTTGAATAACCCTGACTTCCCGCCGCGCCATGAATACATGCAGCCGCACTTACAGAATGAGGAGGAAGAGGGACCACCGCCCCCACCGCCTGTTCATCGGCAGATTTTCCACCCACAACAACATTTACAACAACTTCCTACATCAATACCAGCGAAACCGCCACTGTCGTCGGCACCGGCAGACTACGGTCACAATCAAAATGCCTTGGGACCAATACCCATGCCGGAACCGCTGAGTATAGGACCCGGGCGAACGTCGCCACTGCCCATGCCTGTTGGTGAGCAAGGGCAGCAATATATCGCGTACTCATCAAGCTATCACAGCCAGAATCTGAGCTTCTCGTCGGTAGATAGGGAGCCGGTATCGGCGTATTCATCGTCTCCTACTCCTTCATACATGAATGCACATGCAAATACAAATGTAAACAGTTATGCTCGAGACAGGATGGCAGCAGCCCCCGTCCAAGAACAACCCGGCACGTCGGATGGAGATATAAAAGTTATGGCCAGTGTACCGTCAGCATTAGTACCAGGATATAAAGCGGCTGTTCCTGAAGAAGCTGAGCGAAGCATGATATATCACAATAACAGCTATGTCTCACCACCCCCCCAGCCACAGCTGCACCAACAACCACCATCCCCGCAGCCGCACCAACAACCACCATCCCCACAACCGCAACCACAACCACAAACCCGTCCCCACCCCCAACCCTCCCGCACATCCCCTCGCCCTCCGGATCTCCGCTCCATCCCCGCCCGCAAATCTGTCTCTCCGCACCCCCACCAACCACCAGCACTACGCGACCCCACAAACCCAAGCCTACCCGGCGTCCCCTTTTCCCCTGACAGTTACAACGCCCTAAACCCCTCCGTCTCCACTGCCTTCACCACCAGCATATCTTCCTCCATCCCAACATACCAAGAATCCGCCCTTGAAGCCGACCGCCAGCGCGAGGTGGATAAACTCCGCGACCTGGGTCCGATAATCGGCGATGACGGCCGCGTTATTGATCCTTCGGATCATTTGCCGACAGATACGTGGGCGCCAGAGCCGGAGAGGAAGTTTGCTACTGTTTCGGGGAGTGGTGGAGCAGGGGTAGGGAAGAGGGCGGAGGTTGTGGTGCGGTTTAAGCATGCTGGTCAGAGAGATGGTGCTAGTGCTGGTAGTGGGGGGAGGGGGAGGGCGGTATCTATGATTGGCGTTAATGGTAGTGTTGGGGAAGGGAACCGGCATACGCGCGCGAAGTTGCAGAAACGGGAGACGCTGCAGCCGGCACCAGTCAGTACCACTTCTAGGCCGCAGTCATATGTACACGTACAGCACAGCCATGATACCACACCATCCCCGCGCGCCAACGGCATCATCACCAATAATAATACCACCCCCCTCCGCTCCCATGATCCATACGGCTACAACGGCACCCCCACCGCCTCTACCAGCACACACAGTCCTAACATACGAACCTCCCCGTCCCCCTCCAGCTTCTATAAACCTTCTCTAACCGGCCCGCCGATCCCGGCGAAAGTCCCCGTGCAACCGTCTGCTTCGTACGGCGGTGGGGAGATGGATGCATTTAGCGAGGAGTTGAGGAGGATTGATATTGGGGTGGGATCTGGTGGATGTGTAGGTGGAGGTGGGAGGAGAGGGAGGGTGTCGTATGTCGGGACGGGGGGGAGGGAGGGTTGAGGTGTTAGTTGGTGGATGTGTATGGTTTTTTTTTTTTTTTTTTTTTTTTTTTCCCGGTTTTGTTTTGTTTTGTTTTGTTTTGTTTTTCTCTTTTCTTCGTGGAGGGGTTGGGTGTTGGGTTGTTCTACTGAATGGGACGGGTTAGGATTCTTTGCGATGGGTGTATGTTCCTCGTATGAGTTTTGGTTGATGGATATTACGCTTATTTTACTTCTATTTTGCCTCCTTTCTCCCTTCCTTTAAGTATATACACCGGGAAGGGAGAGTGGGAGTGGACGGACGATAGGCGTATTTTACTTTTATCTCTTTCGTTTTACTGTCCCGCCTACGTGACGGGTGGATTAGAATAATAGAGTAGAAACTTTTATTAGATGTGCTTTCAAAGAAATGAAGTTTTCTTTCGGTTTTGAGGTGTTTTGTGAATCTCTCGCCTTGATGCTGCTGCTTATGTATGTATGAACGTAACGACTCGCATACGGAAAATAATTAGATCTCTATTGTTCGATTCCGCGTTGACACCACCACATCAGGATTGACGGTGTCGTTTGTTTGGAAGGCATATTACGATGATGAGAGATAGAAATGCTAGTGAAAGACCCCCATAACCCACAACTTTTTTGATATTCAATCTGTTGGAATTTATATGCTTTATATATCTCGTCGATATTTACCGTACTCTCTCTGCTGATTTACCCCTGAAAACCCGCTGTGAAACGTCCATTGGGCGGCGTGGGCGGAACAACGTTCACCCGCGCCGACCAGGTTTTTCTTTTTCGGCGCAGAAAAGTCGAGGAAGCTCAAGCAAACAGACAACAACAGCGGGCTCTACGGGATATAGGGGATATAGGGCCGCCGTAAGGACATCTGACGAGCCCGTCGACACGCAGGATACGAAAGCAGTATCCCCGGTGCCATCATGAACTATACGCCGATCTGACCCGCGGCCCCAATTCCACACACATATATCTATCTCACCTCCGCCCCCTAACCGACCTCCAAACTACGGAGAACAGCTGTCCTCACTCAAGATGGCTGCCCCCGTCCTTCCCCTCCCCCAAGTAAAACTCCCCTCAATCCCTTCAACCCGCCTAACCCCCGAGCAACAATACTGGCGCTCCTTCAAAAACCCCCTCCTCCTCCCTTCCCCCTCCAACAGCCCCATAAACCACATCTCCCAACCCTCCACCTCCTCGGTCCCCTCCTCCTCAACCTCCTCCTTCGCCACCTCCACCACCTTCAACACAACAACACCCCCCGACCTCTTCACCGTGACGACAGGCTCCCGCGTCCAACTCCACTCAATCCGCACCCGCAAGCTGCTAAAAACCCTCACCCGCTTCGACGACATAGCTCGCTGTGCCGACATCCGCGCCGACGGCCGCATCCTAGCAGCCTCAGATGATTCAGGCACAATCCAGCTCTTCGACATAAACAGTCGCGCCATCTTGAAGACGTGGCGGCGAGCATAGCAAGTTGCCTGTGTGGGCTGTGCGATTTTCGCCGGGCCGATCCAACAGTGCTGGTCAGTGCGGGCGATGATAGGGTTGTGAGGCTGTGGGATTTGCCGAGTGGAGAGGACAGAAGAAGGAAACATAGGGCATGGGGATTACGTGAGATGTGCGGGGTTTATGCCCGGGGTGGGAGCGGGGACCAGCTTTTTGGTGGTGGTGGTGGTGGTGATGGTGGAGGCGGAGGTGGAGGGGGGAATTTGTTGTTTTCAGCTGGCTATGATGGGATGGTGAAGATCTGGGATTCGCGGGCCACGGGGAGGAGCGTTATGACTTTCCAAATGCGCGGGGCGGTAGAGAGTGTCCTGCCCCTTTTGTCCGGTACAATGGTTCTTGCTTCCGCTGAAAACCGAATCGCTGTCCTTGACGTCGTGGCCGGAAAGCCCCTGCACATCATAAAAAGCCACCAGAAGACCGTGACAGCCCTATCCCTAGCCTCTGGCGGCCGACGAGTCGTCAGCGGTGCATTAGACGGGCACATGAAAGTCTTCGAAACAACAGGCTGGAACGTCGTCGGCGGCTCCAAATACCCCTCCCCTATCCTATCTCTCGGCGTAATCACCACCGGTCATGACAGGGAAGACAAACACATCGCCGTCGGCATGCAATCGGGCCTCCTATCCATCCGCACTCGACTATCAGGCGCACAGAAGATCCGCGAGCGCGAACGGGCGCGAGAAATGCAAGCCCTTCTCGACGGCAAGCTGGATGAACATGACAAGCGGGTGACGAAGCTACAAAAGAAGAAGCACGGTAGGGGCTGGGAGAAGCGGCTGCGCGGCATGGATTTCATCGGCGAGGGCGTCGATATCGTCATCGATGCACAGGACCCCGCGTCAGCATCTCACAAGCGCAAACGCGAACAGCCCTGGGAGCTCGATTTGCGCAAGGGCCGCTACGCAGCGGCCCTCGATGCCGTCCTTTGCCCTTCTTCCAAATCCACGGGCGCAAATAACAAGCTCAACATCCTCACGCTCCTCACAGCTTTACGGCACCGGTCGGCGCTACGAGTGGCACTTTCGGGCCGCGATGAAGTTACGTTGCAACCTATTTTGCAGTGGGTTTATAAATCCATTACGGATCCGAGGGTTGTGGATATTTGTGTTGAGGTTGCGATGAACGTGTTGGACATTTATTCGGGGAATTTGGGCCAGTCGGTTGTTTTCGATGGGCTTGTTGAGAGGCTGCATGTCAGGGTTAGGGAGGAAGTGGATCGGGCTCAGCAGGCGTGGATGACGAAGGGGATGTTGGGGATGTTGAGGGTTGGTGCTTAGTAGATTTTGGGGGGGGGGATCTGGGGATGTTATTGCAGAGTTGTTTTTGGGGACTTGGTATTCCGAGGGAATGGAGGGTGTTTGGGAGTCTTGAAGATTTTGTTTGGTTTTCCTTTTTGTTTTTGTTTTCTTGCATATGGTTGATTTCTATTTAGCGATACTGGTTCTTTGAAAATGGGAAAGCAACGTTAATTATAGATGTAGAATAGTCTTAGTTCTTGGAGAGATCTAACTAACTGTTTGAACTAATCATATGAGCTGAAAATTCGCACTGAAAATCCGCACGCACATTCCTGAAAAGGCCTGAAACAAAAGCATTCGCATCAAATACACCCTCCCACTGCCACTCCTTCGCTAGGATAGCCACAGCTTTCAAAAATTTTCTTCGCCAACACAAAGTGTTCCCCTCTATTCTCCTCCCCTTCTTCCCCCTTCCCTCGCATCTCCATTCTCTCCATTCTCCCCACAGTACTCCCACCCAAACAACCTCGTAAACCCATCCCCACCCTCCGGCGGCTGCAGCCAATTCCGCCCATCATACCCCCACCCTTCCGCCCCCTCAATAACATGAAAAGTATACGCAAACCGACTCTTCCCACTCGTATTCCTCTCGCTCTTATGCAACACATTCCCATGGATAAGCACCAGCGACCCCGCCTTGACATCCAAGATCTCAAAATCCTCTTCGCGCGGAGTGTACGGCTCGTCCTCCCCAGCTTCTTCCCCATCAACCAACTCCCTCGCCAACCCTCGCCCCTTCCACTCCACAAACTCCGTCCCTGCCTCACCACCCTCACCCTCACACCTCACAAACCTCCTCCTCACAAACCCCCTTTTGTGACTCCCCCTCCAGAACCCCAACCCCCCATTCTTCCCACCGGCATCCTGCAACGCAATCCACCACCCCACCGCACTCGGCGGATCCGTATACAAAAACTCACTATCCTGATGCGGCGGCACCGCCGCCCCGATCCCCGGCTGCTTGCATATGACCATCGATTGCAGGACGCGGGGGTCCCGGAAGCCCAGGTCGCGAGCTATGGCGGCGTTGCGGGTGCCGGTTGGATGCGGAGGAGTGGTTGTGGCGGTGAAAGGGGGGGAGAGGGCGTGTAGGGCGTGACCGATTTTGTTGATGGAGAGGTGTTTGGGGGCTTTGAGGGTTGGCGGCGATGTGGAGGATTGGGACGGGGGGAGGAAGGCGTCGGGTTCGAAGAAGAAGTGGATTTTGTGGCCGGAGGTGAGGAAGTAGGTGTCGCCGATGTGTTTTGCGTTGGCCTCGGTGTCGGAGGTGGTGGAGGTGCCGGTTGTGAAGCGGGTTAGGGGGTGGGTGTCTAGGGGAAAGCCAGAGAGGAGGGTGTTTGTTGTTGTCAGGAGGGCTGTTACTTCGGATTCGCTGAGGTAGTTTTCGAGGACGAGGTAGCCGTTGTCGCGGAAGGAGGAGAGTTGGGAGGTGGTGAGGCCTGGGATGGAGGGAGGAGGAGGAGGTGCAGGAGTTGCGGACGGCATGATGAACGGTGGAGTCAATGAACGGAATGGAAAATAATTTGCTGTAAGTGTGGGCGTAAGTTATTGATATGACAGAGATGATATTTATAACGTGATGTAGTTAAGTTGGTTTGTTGGTTGTTGTGGTGAAAAAGTGGGGATTTTAGTTAAGGTTAAAGTTAAGGTTTAGCGGAGATCTCATCTTATCTTATCTGATCAGATCTCTGTTCAGTGCAACTACAAGAGGAAACAACAAGGACTGTTAACATTAAAGTTATACTGTGGAAGTCATGTCATATTTAATATTCCACAGGGCAAATATCCCCTAAATGTTGTAGGTTTATCTCAAGTCTCATTAGAGGTAAAATATCAAAAGATCTTGGGTATCCGAAAAAACCAGAACTGGAACAGCATCTTAAATGCTTGAGCGATGCATGCCACAAATGTAAACCCAGAAGTATAGAAATAATCGGAATGCAAAAAAAATATCCGAGACTCACCAAGGGAACGCGCAAATGGGGGAATAATAATTACCAAAAGTTCGTTCACGAGACATCTCTCTCTTCGCTTTCATCAGCGGGCCTCGTTCAAGGGGGACAACATCCTCCTCTCGACACACCTGGACCTGCACAGATGTATCAAGCAGAACCTCAACGACGCCAGCTCACAGGAAGCCTAATACTACCCTCCGAAAATTCCTCCCGGGCCTTCTCCACCAAGCCCGGAATCATATACGTCCAATGACAAACCATCCCCGCCAAAAACCCAATGCCATCATTCATAAAAGCAACCAGCATCCCAATCGTACCCATCATAACTGTCCACCTTCTCTTCTTCTCTTCGTTGGTCAGAACATTTGTCCCGGCCAAACGAGCATGCTTCGACAAATCCCACGCGCGCGCGGTATTCAAACTCTCCCCCACGCTCGCCAGCTCCAATCCAGCGGCAATAACCATAACGCCCAGAAACGCCGTGGGGAACTGCCGCAGCAGCCCCACAAGCGTGTTGCCAAAGAACAGTCCGACAATCAGCTTGAAGGAGCCGAGGAGAATGATGCTCGACCCACTCCGGGCTCCGAATCGGAACTGCGCCGCCAGGCCGCCGGAGCCATGGCACACGGGCATCGCGCCGAACCAGCATCCTAGCAGATTCATGGCGGCAACACTAAGCCCGATGGCGGTGGTGGACGGCGCCTCAACCTCCGGCAACAGATCGGCCGCCAGATAGACGACGGCGACGATAGAATTCAGCGTCGTCAGCGGGAGCTGTCCGATGCCCGCATCGATGATGCCGACACGCCACTCATGGCCGACAGGGATGGAGATGGCAGGATGCCAGAGACCGAAGGACGGAAGTCCATGATGTGACAGGCCTAGCGAGACAAAGGCAAACACAATCCCGACCAGGAACACGATGAGTGCATAGGGGACACGGTCATAGACCGCCGTCAGCGCCAGCACGACCAACGCCACGATCATCCAGATGTAATTATCCGCCCAGCTGGGCCCGATCCAGCCCAGATGGCCCCTCAGAGTCGACCCTGCAGAAATAACCAACGACAACCCCGCGCCAACCTGTATCCCCTTAACGACCGGCGTGGGCACAACGCGCGCAAACCACTCCAGCAAGCCCGTCACGCTGAACAGCAGGATAACGCCGCCCACAAAGATTCCCGCGGCGGTGATCTGGCCGGGCGAGAAGTGCTTGGCGATGGCGACGGCGGCGATGGCTTTCATGGGCTGGACGGGCAGTGGGATGCCGAAGTAGAGGCCTGTGAAGATGTTGTAGAGGCCGGAGAAGAGGAGGCTGGAGGGCAGGGAGATTGTGTTGTTTACGGCGAGGGCGGTGAGGAGGGGGAGGAAGGTGCCCAGGTCGCCAAGGGCGCCGGAGACTTCGGCGAGCGGGAACGAGCGCAGGGTCTGCAGGTTGCGGGGGGTATGGCGGAGTTTGGGGAGGGGAAAGTGGAGGCGGCGGCGGGGGGGGGGCATGGTTGGCGGGTTTGGGAGTTGGCAGCTTGGATTAGGGGAGGTTGTGGGGGAGGTTATGGGGGAGGTTTGGGGGAGGTTACGGGGGAGGGCTATGTGGGGTTGTCATGGAGGGAGTGTGTAGGAGGGAGGATGTCTACGGTGCGTTATTTAAGGCCTCAGGGTGCTGATGCGGTGCTGCTGCTCGGTGCTGATCCCGGTGCTGCTGCTCGGTGTGGTTGCACAGCCAGCCAGATGTTGGACTGGCCGGTTTTGGCAGCAACACGCGAACAAACCAACCACCCGCCAGTTCATCCGTGCGTGGGCTTGCGGCTGCGGTGGCTCTGCCCGGACACAGGAGATGCGAAGCAGCCCAGCGCCAATCAGAGGGATAAAATAGTTATCCAACGCAACCCCCGACAGACACGAAGAGTTATCGTCAGGACGCAGTCATCCACACCGGTGGTAGAGCAGTTGACGTGTCTGTGAGGTGGTGAGCCGCATTTTTGGGCTTGAAGCCACCATCTGCATCTGTCCGAGGGATTGTGTGTGCCCCCCCCCCCATAATTTCCCTCCTGCTCACCGGCCTCGCCGTCTCAATGGCATCCAACGGCGTGTATGGTGGCTGTGAAGTCCTCCCATGCTGATCTCTGGTTTGGCTGAAGAGTCCCCCCACCCACACATGTCTGTTAGGGCAGTTCGAGAATGGATCCGTCGCGGGAACCCGTGTATACCAATGGCCTGGCAAGCTGGAAGCGCTCTTCATGGGCGACTCCCGCAGCTTGTTCAACTCGAGGAACCGTTAACCAAGTGCTCTGCAGTCTTCAAAGCCCGTGCTTAGTTACCCAACTGGCGCGGTTCCAGCTCTAAATAGGAGTTATATACAGTTCTGGGACTGGAGGAATCTACCTGCCTGGTGCTGGCTGTCAAGCAGGGCTACGGTCACAGCCCCTATGAGAAAGTAGTTACAAGCTCGCAGATCTGAAGCGAGAGTACGGGGCCTATTCCGTGCAGACTGGTACGTATCCGCGAGTCCCCAACGCCCGGGAGAGACCTACGGATGGCCTTTTTCAATGGATGGATCAGAGCTTGGGAGAACTTTGTGAATATTTTTCCAAACCGCAATCCTAGGATCCTGCAGATAGCTTCAAAGGGTGTCTTGGAGGCGCTATTTTAATCTACGAGAAGCTGGACCTGATTCATACACGCTGAAGAGCTCACGGTAGAATTGGCAGATCTCGGAATAACTACGTCTTGTCCCTTCTACGTAACTACCACCAATGAATGTTAAAGCAACGCTGCTAACTCAAGCAGCCATACCAGATGGTTTCAACGATGAAAGGATACAGCCCGTACCCTGTCGAGTACCACAGGTATGGAGAGGTTTAAGGCTGCTTTCATGCTTCAGATGTGGGGTCTCTAGGTGTCACTGTTGTCGGCGAATGCTGAAAAGTCAATGGATTGCTTATCCCCCCGCGTCCATCTTTGGCATCTTTGGCATATATGATGATCCCCGGGGAGTAGGCATTTTATCCTGTCCCTGCTTATCGTGAATGATGATGAGAAGAGGCCAACGGCTCTAGGAGGCATTGGAGAACCCCCGTTCTTTCCGGCTGAATTTTGATATGGCATCCCTCATTTCCTTTCGTCCTCGTCGGTGCTACCACGCTTGCCCGGGGGGAAAAAAATAAAATAAAATAAAATAAAATTATAAAAAAAAAAAAAAAAAAAAAAAAAAAAAAAAAAAAATCAGCGCAGATGCAACCTGTCGCAGTCTGCCCATGCAGAACCCTTCCAAGGTACTTTCCCAATCAAAACAGTTGGCCCCCAGCAGACAAGGTTGGACAATATCTATCAGTCGGAGTGAGCGGAGTGGGTCCAAGTTTGGAAAGACAGTTAGAGCTACGCTTCGGTTCTTGTGTGAGATGACGCCACTAGCATACCTGATCTAACAGTCTCTCTTCTCTTTGCATCCATATTCCTATGAATAAGATTTAAGATGGACGACCTCCTGAAGACGGAATGGATGCATGTCGAGGTTGTCTGTAAACCATCTGCCCCGCGATCCGTTTTGCCTGTTTCGCCAACCGTCGGTTTCACCCGTCGTTCATTCTGCCCGCCACGATCTCGCCCGTCATTCTACTCGTGCTAGCAGAGTCGTGTGGACTCGATGTTTCTCCGATGCCGTCATTTTCGAATGCCTTGAGCCCACCGATCACCCTGATCTCTCTCCAGTCGTGCTCTCTGTCAGACGGCTTTCCACTCTTTTTGTTTGACAAATCAGATCAACCTGTCGCCAAGGTTTTGCCGCCTGGTAGGTCCCTTGCGATGTTTATTGTGTAATGGCGACGTTGCCCCCTTGAGAGAACAATTTTGCTGCAGTCCGGACACCCCCCAGCTTAGTCACTTTTGAGAGCTTTGTAAATGACATCGAGATCGGTGAATGCGCCGTTTTGAACCTGGATCAAAGAGACGCGCCATGTCCGATGCTTCGTCGTGACTTCTTGTCGCTGGGCGAAGCTTGAAGGCGGCGTTTCTGTATCCGCTAATCTTAAGAGAAGTTGCACTGCTGCCTGCAGGCAATCCGGTTCGGATCTGTCGTTGGCGCTGTCAAAAATCTAACTGATTACAGAGTTTGAACGCTCCAAATCCTGTGATGGCTCGAGTAAACAACCGAGCGATCATCTTCCGATAGTGGAGTCATCTATTGTGTGCGTGGACAAAGAGGGGAACAGGCGTATAAAGCTCTCAAGGTTTTGAGTTGTTAGTACATACATACTATTCATGGACATGGCCTTATCCTCTCCCTCATCCGCCGAAGATAGGGAGATCATATTCCGATAAGCAGGGAAAATATTCAACCTGGCCGTCGCAGATCCATCAATCCCGATGCCAGTCACAGAATACCCCGTCATCGCCCCCGGAACTAGAATTTAGTATGGTCGTCAAGTTCCGTACCGCCCGTCCAGAGCGAATGCAGATGTCGCCTGTGCCTCGCTCTTTGATTTCAGTTTCGGTTTAGGCCGAAGTGTTACTTTAAGCATGGCGTTCATTGTCTTGCTCTCGCAGAGAAAGGGGGGGCAAGTTCTCGATATTTAATCTCTCTTTCTTCCGGACTGTGTTATCCATTCATCGGAGCCTGTCAAATGGTGGATAACAAACTACGAAACAACAGGAAGATGCTCCACTTGACTCCTTAAGAGGCTATCTTCTATCATCTTTCCTCCACTTGAACCATTAATTGTTCAACTCGCTCTGTATATCATACCGAGTCCGACAGCACCCTCCCACGACATCGCAAATTCACTACAATCAACTGCCCCAAAATGTCCAATCCGAAGCCCACAATCTCTCTAATCCATGGCGCCTGGCAATCTCCCTCCGTCTGGACCTTCGTTACCCCCCTCCTCGAGAAAGCAGGCTACTCCGTCTACCCCATCCCTCTGAAATCACCCGGTATGGTCCCCGCTTCTCCAGACTTTAGCTGTGATGTGGATGTCATTGGAAGCGGCATCGAGGCCATCCTGGACACGGGAAAGGATGTCGTGGTCGTTATGCATTCGTATGCGGCCGTGGTGGGATGTGAGGCGTTGAAGCGGTTTCATGGGGAGATGTGGGGGTGTGAGAGTGGTGGGAATGGGATGGAGAATGATTGTGCTGATGCCGGTACTGGAACTTCGAAGAGAGATCTGGGTGCAAAATTGAAATTCAAAATGGTGGATGGGATTGGAGAGCGGGATATGGAGACTGCGAAGTTCATCCCCCGCCGCGGCCGCATCTTGCACCTCGCCTTCATTGCTGGGATGGTCGTGCCAGTGGGAAGGGCCCTGTGGACGCCTGACAGAAAGGAGCTGAATGGCTTTGAGTTGAAGGTATTAAATCCAATGGATATCTTTCAACCTTTTTTACTCTTTGCGTATCTCACCCCCTTTCATCCATCACGATAAACACAACCTAACGAACAAAAACCAGGACGAACTAATCCGCACCCTCGACGGTGCCACCCGCTTCTACATCGACCTGCCCGCCCCCGCGCGGGAATTCTGGTCCAGCAAGCTGAAGTTGCAACCACGCCCGTAAGACGCCCCTTTCTTTCCCTCCAGCCCCTTACCCAACCCACTAACCAACCACCTCCCAAAACCAGTGTCTTCTTCTCCCCCCTCACCTACCCTGCCTACCGCCACTACCCCAGCTCCTACCTAATGTGCAGGCGCGACATGGCCGTCCCCATCAAGCTGCAAATGCGCATGGCATTTGGGGCCGGGATTGGCCGGGAGCGGGTGGAGGTGCTGGAGGATGCGGGGCATTCGCCGATGATTAGTTGTCCAGGGAAAGTTGTGGGGTTTATTCGGCGGGCGGCAGGGGAGGCACAGAGGCTTGGGGGAAGTGTTTTGTAAGGCGAATGGGGAGAACAGGGGGGAGGAGGGAGTTGTGGTTGGCGGATAGTAGGTAGGTGGGTGGAATTGGAAGGTGTTTGCTTTGGACTTGTATGACATTTACGAAACTGCTTTTCTTCACTTACTTCTGGCCTACAGCCCCGTAGTTAAGCTAGATATGTCATTGGAGTTGAGGTATTTAATCCCAGCAATGTACTTTTATATATTTTACCCTCGTCCACCAACTCATAATCAAAATCCATAGAATAGAAAAAGCCTCGAGACAGCAAGCTCGCAGCCTTCAATACCGAAATACAGAGAAGCCCGTTTAGCCCTTTAACTGCCAAAAACCTCTCCTTCTAAATCCGAGCCTGCCGTCTCTCTCGCAACCAACTCAAAAATCACCCATCTAACTTTTTTTCTTCTTCTTTTTTTCTCTAATACCAGTACAAGTTGCAATATTACATACTAGACTGACACCACCTCGACAGCTTCGGACGGGTCGAGTAATTGCATCTCTCCCCGGCCAGTTTCTCATAGTACCTGCCATCAGTGCATTTGCACCTATCACTACAGGGACCGTTTTTGGGGGATCTGAATTATAGCAAGTTAGGTAGTTAGCTGACATATGCACAGTCTGCGACTAAAATTGTTGCACAACCTTGCTATAAATGGTATTAAATAGAGACAAGGGCATTCTTACTCGTGTGCACAATCGGTCAAGGGCCGATTATCTCGACGAATGCGCTCGAGAGTGGGGATCGGCGTGGATGTAGACGTAGATGTAGACGTAGATGTAGATGTAGACGTAGATGTAGATGTAGATGTAGATATAGATGTAGATGTAGATGTAGATGTAGATGTAGCACTCGATTGAGTTTCAGTTGGATTGCTTGACTGAGAAGAAGGGCTAGAAGTCGTGGTGGCCGTTGACTCCGTAGAAGGACTCGAAGTCGCAGTGACCGTCATGGTCACCGTGCTTGCCGTGGTCGTCGTGGAAGTTGCTGAGGACGTTCCACTCGAGGCGCCTGTGGTTGCAGCTGACGTGGTGGCATCTTCCATCCTCGCTCGTGGGAAGTACTATTTAGCACGTCAATGATGGTGGTTGGTAAGGACGTGATAGGATAGTATGGAGGCTATCGGTATTGGATTTTGGATTCTGGGGGGAAGGGAATGATCAAAGTAACTACTAACTCTTGGAGGAGGAGAGGCAGGGAGCAAGCTTGGAGGACCACGACGGCATACGGCTCCGCGACCGCTGCACCCATCCACCGCGTTTGCAAGGGGGATTGAGACGGAGAGGAGAGTTACAAGAAATAAACGAAACATGATGACGACTGCGTTGTTGAGATTTGAAAATGTATGTGCAATTCGCGACGGTCATTCAGCCGGTGATAGCTTGGGATGAAGAAACTGCTCGGTTGGTGGGAAAACAGCCGTCACGGAGAAGGGAACGTAGTTATAGGACAAGTAACTTATAAAGCTCTTCAGAGAAAAATTCTGAAAATCGGCCATGGTACCCATGCGGCAGAGATCAGAGGCCGAAATACCCCTGAAGAAGAGAAAATGGGAATGATCTCCGTGGCGCATCACGGATTTATGGTGGGGATAACTACCAAATATTGAGTGTACGATTTTTCATCCAAAACTTCAGTGACAAGAAGCTGATAATGGCGGAACTCGGGAAATCGTTTGTGGGAACCTATTTAGGAGACTCGGAATTCCAATGCCTTGCCAGCACTACTACTAATTGTTTTTCGGCCCAATTGGCATAACAAGAAGTAGATCGAGAAGAACTTCGTAAACGGCATGCATGGTATGGGTGACAAATGAAATTACGTATCTTTGAAGACCAACTAACTCACAGCGGCAACAGGCAAATCGCGGAGGAAGAGTGATGGCAATTCCGGTCACTATATTCTTTCCAACCCTGTGGGTTAGGGTAATCCTTGACGATATCTTGAAGGATTATACGCAATTTTGCTCGGAGCTGAGATTGCGACTTGTAGGAGAAAACTTTTCTGCTCATGCGGTCAAGCTTGCCCTGGCATTCCGGACCAGACTCTAGACTCTAGCTAAGCTATAGGATGTGCGGTACGTATGTATGTACGCACATGCATCCAGTCCGATATGGATTTCGATGCTAAAATGATCTACCGTGTCGATCACTGTGGTAATGTATCGCCATCCAATAGCATTATAGCTTCAGCGCCATGGGCCTGGAAATTCCTGTTCGCACCAAAATATACCATGGGTGTCTGGTGGAAGTCCCCGCAGGAGTAACTGAGCTCCATAAAAGACGTATAAAATTAAGGGGCATGGCTGAATTTCGCGGGATAGATTGGGAATTGGACTGAGCAGTGAGAGGTCGATATGGAAAACGAACCAAGGAACATTGTCCAGAGGAGCTGGCCGAGTTAGTTTATCTTAGCTGCATGCAACTCACCGGATGAAGATTAAGGTTGCAGTTCTGACCAAGCCATTGTTGTATCTCTCGGAAAGAAAGCTACTCCGCAGGGAATCTCAAGTAAAACTCCAGGGCTTTAGTGAACAATACGTCCCTGATCGCAGAATGCTAACCACAAGACAATCATTCAGTGACTTCAAAGGCCGACACTATGACCTGAGACGTGATTGCTGTGTTACAAAAGATAGAAGCTCGTAGGAGAGTAATTGATGATTCTTGGAATATATGGGTGACGGTGTGCGTTTGTGTGTTTCAACCTCTTCGCGGCTGGTGAATTTTGTCAGTTTCTTCTCCGCAAACCCCTGAAGCCATGTGGATAGGCTTGGCGTTTGACGCGTCAATCGCGCCTATATTAAACGGGGAAACTCCAACCTCTTTAGTCTTCAGGAGCTATTAATGATAAAACTTCGTCTGGCCCGCCGCGGATGGTTACGGTCTGCGATTGTACACTTCAGAGACTTCAATGAAAGAACTGCTCCAATTGTTCAGAAATGTTGGTCGCAACTACCAGCCCAACTCCTGGAGACTTTAATTCCTTTGGGAGGAGCCGGAATCCGTACTCCGCGGATCACGGAAACTTCATAGTGTTCCATCTCACACATTGACGGCGGATGAGGTAAAAGAGATTTCTCCTGGCCTTCCTGACTACTGCCATGGCTGAGCATCCGGTCAGTGGCGGGATTTTTCTCGCCCATGAATGCCAGAACTTGATCATGTAAAGCATCATTATCAACGAACAAAGGAATCATCCTCTGGATGTGGTATTCGGGATCTCACACAGCCTTGAGCTATAGGTATTCCGTTGGTCGATTATTTGAGATTTTGCTGCCTTTGTAGCTGCTCAACAGCGAAGAATATTACGCCTCCCAAATGGCAGGACTGCAGGTCGGCAAAACCCAGCCCAGGAGGATTCATACCCCTGAAAAGAACGGAAAATTCTCCTGCATTTTCAAGTTTTGAAATGATGATGTCAACGGAGCAAACGGGGAGCTTTGAGGGTATTCCCGTTTGTGTGTGTGGCAGAGACCTAGATCAAAGATCCCTATGAATTCTCTGGAGAGGACGCAAGGCGACGATGCCTTGCTATAAATACAGGCCAGCACTCGTGCAGAAATCTGTTATCCTCTTAACAACATTCGTCACTGTTTCGTTGAGCACACCCCTAGCACAGCAACGTCGGGAAAGCGAACAGCGAACACCAGCTGCGATACACCACCAGAAATCAGATAACACAATCCGCCGCTTACCTCACGAAGGAGTTCGAAGGATTTGATGGTGACTATAATCAATTCTCCTTCTTTGCAGTATCGAAAATCATACACTACAAAGAGTCACCGAGTTTTAATCCCTCAGAAGAAATGGATGCCATATTCACTGAATATATAGGAGTGAGGAAAATGCTCCTATACCGTAACAATCTACCCCAGCGGCAGCCCCAGTATCGGACATCAACTCGGGCCTCTATTGAAGCAATGCCGGAAAATGAGGAGGATATAATTAAGAAAGTTCTACAAACCCAAGAAGAAGCATGCGAACCGAAAGCTGCTGATGTTGCGACCTACGTCAACTACCCAGTATATTTGGATTATTCTCAGGGGCGATGGGAAGAGGCGGTGGAAAAACAGCTCGAAACTGTGAGAAATTCCACACCAGCACAGAGGATTCCCAGTGCCGTTAAAATCCACCAACGCCATATTCTTGGCATACTCCAGCTTGCCACGGAAGACAATACGTAGGCGGAGGAAAATTTGCTGTCCGTGCTGCATTCCAGAATGCAAAATTGTTGGCCAATCGATCCCAAATTGGTCATGACTTGCGCCGACGTTGGTCTAGCTCTGCTCGTCCAGGGAAAGTATGCAGAAGCAGAGCATATTATTCAAAAGGCGTGCCTGGACATTGAGATTCTGCCGAATCTAGAGGCGATCGCTATTCTTAACAGTCTCGGATCGGCTTTGAAGAGCCAGGGAAAGTATCAGGAAGCCGAGCAGATATTTTCGCAAGCATTCGAGCGTCGAAAACAAGTACCAGGGTTCTGCTATAAAGGTTGCAGTTATGTCCGCTCTCGGTCTTCGTTCAGTACTAAACTGCCTGAGAAAGCATGATGAGGCAGAAGCAGTGGAAAAACAATTTGGAATTCCCCACGCCCTTCCATCAGTTTCGCAGCAATGGTGCCTGTTAGGAAAAGAGCATTGTAATTGTCATCAAGTATTTGGGAGTGGGAAAGGCGGAATCCGGAAGCCTCGCTCTGTTGCATGCAGATGCCAGCTTTCCGCAAAAACTTCGAAATGACAATAGAAACATGTTAGTGCACTGAGGAATGCCAGTCCTCAGAAATCCCGCTCTCCGCTCCCTATATTGGAAAGCCCCTACCCCTCCCGCTCTTTTCTTCGCTCGCGAGTTTCGCATGTGTGTTATTCTTCATATTCTGTTTCTGGATGCTGTATGCCTCCAACCCTTAACCTAGGTATTGAATACCAACTACAATTCATTCTTTTCATTTTATTCTTCTCCATCCTTCCACTAGTGTTCGCTGCCTCCTAAAGTGCAGCTCTGCACAATTCCCATTTCAGCAGTTGCTGGTTTCTGAATATGGTCGCGATAGTCCTTCTTTTAGTTAGTAAGATATGAGACGGGTTGCTTGCTGTGTCTAACCCATCTAAGCTGTGCTCTTTAGACGCTCACTGAACCCCTATTCGTACAGCCCCCCAGGGGGGACCCGATCCGTGGGACTTTGCCATGAAAGGCAAATTATCAGAGACACGGTCTCGTCGATAGGGTGACCTGCGCCATATAGTAGATTCTTCACGGGTGGTGGAGAGTTGGAAAGGAATGGGTTAATCAAGCCATCGCCTGCGATGTCAAATGTATAACATCCAACACATGTATGTACATACATGTTCGAAAAGAAAAGGCCAATATCATGAAATGCATATACGTACAGAACACGCAGCCTTGGATAGCTGGGTAATGCGGGGGAAACTGCACCAGCGGCTCCGAGTTTCCGTCAAAAGATATCGTCAAAAGATAAAGAAGAAAAACGTCCCGTCTAGCCCCGCTAGAAACGACCTATGTGACAAGGATGCAGAATGACTAAAAATGCAGAAAAGGAGGAGGCACCAAAGGCCACCAGGTATGTCAACCAATCCGTAAAAATCGCCAAAAGAAAAAAAAAAAAAAGAAAAAAACAAAGAAAAAGAAAAAGAAAATAAGGAGGGGGGGAGGGGGGGAATGAAGGAAACTCCCCATGCAATTTAAAAACACCATCAATCATCATATCTAGAAACAACTCAATATCCAAGTGACGGAATTCCAGCTCCAAAGCCGCAATCCCTCCGTGGCTCCAAGCCCAACAACCGATTAGCAACGAAACTAACGTAGCCCGGAGTCCCAAATTTGACCTTTGACAAGTCTGAAGGGTCGGGAACGCTCCCGCTGTTGTAGCAACGCAACATGGGACCGTATGCTTGACCATATTTTCTGAAACATGCTGCCAGCCCCTCAGTCCTGCCAGTGCCAAAGACACCGGCCAAGACCATATTTCGAATCGTTGACGGGTCGCATTGGCCCCAGGCGCTCCTGAAGCAGTCCGGGCTTCCAAGAGCTTGCATGATGCCTGGAGTTACACCGTCGCCGGCTGGCGTGCGGACGTTCCCATTGGATTCTTGCATCATGACCGCGAGGATGATTCGGCTATTGTTTTATGAAAGGGGAGTTGTTAGTTCAATTTTCCATTTGTTGCGTGGAGTAGACGGCCCACGATGTTGCTGCCTCCAGGAAATGTAGCTTGGATCAGGGAAACTGAGACATACCTATCAAGACCAGATGATTCGGCAGCCTCTTCTATAGATCGCTGAATTGCGCTCACTTCCTCTTGGCTGTTGAACATCAACATTGTCTGTTTGTTGGATTCGAATAGCTCATTGAACGAAAGCCATTGGTCGATTGATGGGAATTGGTTGCCAGTATAGCATAACGCTACTCCAACTTGCAGAGGATTTCCACCGCTTTGTGGATAATATCGATCTTGAATCTTAGTCGGTACCGCGGCAGCCAGGTTTATAACTAGAAGAGGGAGAGAGAAGAGCTGTGATTTTCAAGTTAGTAATGTCCATCATAAGAAGACTGGGACGAAGACGGCAAGTCGTACGGAAAGGAAAGCCATTGTAAAATGGTTTGCTAATAGTTACAGATGAACAGAACGGTCTCTAGGCCAGCCACTAGCTCGTAGATGTTGTGAGATCGAGGGATGTATGTGTATGTTCAAGTCTTCACATCCCTAGATGGGAATACTAGAAGTTTATATAGCTGAACCCGGGAGCCATTCAGAGCTGAGGGCCGAACATGAAACGGCCGTCATCCTCCATAGGCCCATCAAGCGCCATGATGCATTTGCATGTTGAACCATGCAAGCTGAAGACAATAACCCTTTCAAGCAGGGTTTTCTCCGACGGATATGATTGGGCCCGCCCAAGCCCCCTCACCCATCAGCCCCCCCCCCCCACCATAGAGAACTATTCTGCGCCCAGCGCAGGTTGTCGGCCACGTTTCTGGCAGAGCGTTTGCGCACGTCCCCAACACCATCTACCCCGAATCCAGATAAGCTGATTCTAGCTGCGGCTTAACATACTGAAGCAATTCGTATGTTGTGCCTTGCAGCTTCACATGAATATTGATCCGCGAGGATGTGCGCCCAAAATACGCCGTCTGCAGAGTCGCCGAAACGTCACTGTAACCAAGCGATAGTACGATGAGGGAGGTTTGTTCACGTAACTACACCATACACCACATTTTACCGGTTTGCTGCGGTTTTGAGGACACCCGGGCTGACTATTATTAGCGTTTTGACCCACACGAAAAGTCCCCTGCTCCATTCAGCGGGTTTTAACTGGATTTAACAAAGTCATTCAGTCAACAGCGCGGTTATGGTTCGCAGCACTAACTTGGTTAGGCTAAGTTCTCACGGTCCCACTGAACAGACTCGGCCCTCCCAGTAGCCAGAACAATAGCCTAACGAGATGGGCCTGCACACCAGAGCTCCGCAGGGCTGACGATACCAAGAAAATGCTCTTTTTAGACCCGCTCACGAAAAAGAACGAAAAGCTGAGGACAAATAGGATCTTTCTTGTTCAAGAAAGAATTTAGACCCCTGAGACACTGGGAAGTCTTGATGACTGACTGACTGACTCATGAAAAGACAGGCTTGAGACAGGCTTGACTCAAGGAACCGTGGGAAATTGCCCGGAAATATTATTGTTGATGAACTCGGTTGTTCTTATTTTAGATTGATTCTGGATATTAGCGACCCTGGACATATTGGTGACCAGCATCAACGGTTAATGTTGAAAATCCGAAGGCTCAAGGGTTCGATAGGCATAGAACAAAAACGGTGGAAGTTGGACTCGAGATGGCATCGTAACTAACTTTACTAGCCCAAAGCTATTTCCAGGCACAGCCACCAGCCATGGGAGTTTTGTTTTGAACGGATTTTTCTTGTCTTCGTTGACTTCATTCTTTTGTTGCGATTTGAAACCCCAGAACATACAATGCTCTGCGATGCCTCGGCAGTCTCTCTGATCACGAAATGGGTATGGGGACCGAAAAGCGATCGGATTCCAAGTTGAAGAGGCTGGGAGTGGAGCCTGTGAGAGAGGAGGTTGGGGGTGGGCCTCCTCCAACAAGTGTTCCAGCTGGTAGCTAGAGACGTTGGTTGAAGCATTTGGAATCAGTTCCACTTTACGCAGTATAGCGCCATCGGATAAGTGAGGCCATTCGGAATTCGCTTCTAGCGCCCGCATAATCTTCCTTATTTTACGCGTTTCCTCATATTTCCCGCGCTTCGAGATTCAGATCGAGATCCACGATTGCCGAGAGTATATAAATATTAAATGTTTCTTCCCCCTTCTCGACCTCGCAGTTGTCGACACTGATTCCAATACATGTGGCAAACCGAAACATTTCCCAGCCCCCTCGAAAGAAATTTTCTTCCGGGCATAGATCCAGACGCTTCTGACTCTTCGCATCCATTCATTCATTCATCTATTGCGCTGTGCCAACAGTGTTGGCCACGATAAATATAAGCAAGAGGAGAGAAAGAGGCGCGTGGTTCGGATTCGTCAGGTTAACTAACTAGCCGTTCTTCTTCGCCGCTTCCGTGCTAGCTATTGAAACATTCCAAGGGCAAGTCTCACTTCGACATGTCGCGATCTCAAACCGCCGAAGATCTTGTGATATTCTCCGTGAAGTAAAGATATGCCGGCAAACTTTCTGAACCTGAGGATTTTCGTCGGTATTCTTCGTGCTACGCCGATGAGTCGACTCTCCTTTTTGACGGGACAGCATCTTTTCATTTTCTGAAGCTGAACCTTTCAGCAAATCATATTGGTATTATGAGCTGGGCTGCTGTTTGCGTCAGGCGAAATGCTGATCGCGGCGATGATCCAATATAAAGAGGGCGAGCAAGTTACCTTTGAAGGAGCTGGTGCATCCAAAATACTGCGGTGGATAATCCATGGAGATCTATCTGGAGCATTGTCAACCCAAAATGCATTATTTGGGGTTTACTGGCGCCATCTTTGATTGAAAAATGAATATATTTCTTTACCTGATTTCTACCACGAAATTGTTATATTTGGGGGTGAGGCGGCAGTAACGGGGTTCTTGTCAGGAAAATCTATCTTATCTCTAATGGTCAGTTGAAGGGTTTCGATCAATACTAATATCTCCATTCACTGCCGAGATGAAATGTCTTTCCAAGATGGAATACGCAAGACGTTCAGTGCATACTACTGGGGAGTTTTGTTAGCACCTAAGCAGTCCAACGGCCGCGACAACATTGCATACGACTTTTCGGACAGCGCCCAGTTGGATAGTGGAACTGGACAAGACCTGAACTCAGAAAGAGATTGGTTCTCCAGGATTAAGAACCACGTCAATCAGTTGGACAGTTGAACAGTTGGCAGTTAATCAGGTCAGGTCATGATCGGAAAAACTCCTCCGCAAATGAGAGAAAATGACTCGAAAACATCCTCAGGGATTCCTGCTCTGTCGGATAAAAGAATCAGGAAAAAGTGCCGCCATTGGGTTTGGAATGCCATATCCACTCTACAAAATGCATTAGAGATACCGAACTTTGATATCACAAAATTCAACGCCTGAATATTGGATTATGCCAGTCAATGTGCTAGCCAACCCTAGTCCAAGCGATGCTGGTGATTATAAGGAGACAAACCAACTGCGTGAAACACTTCCTGGTTCATTATAGAGTCTCCAAAGAAGGCGTTCTGCCACGAGCTCTTCCGCTTATGAAGGAAGCTTACGTTTGATGCCCTCAGACCAGTCCAGCACCTTGAATGAATATAATATGTCCCTGTTGGATTCCCAATGTTTTGGGTACCAGCCTGCAAGTTCCCAGTCAACAACTCCCACAATTCTACCATTGCAAATGATAATATTCCGCGGGGCTAAATCTGAATGTGAGAAGAGTGTCGCATGATTGCTGCTATGACAAGAAGGTGTGTTCCGGTAAACCTGAGCATCTCCGTAGAGCTTACACGCTATCTCCCGAAAACAGAATACCTCCTTCTCCTCCATCTGCACAAAGAAGCACACGCGGGGCCCGTGTTTGAGGTCGGGCCAAGCCGTCATCGCGCTCTCCGGTTTTCCACTATAAACCAAAGCTGTCAGCCGTAGCAGGCCAAGCAGGCGCAGCGCATGTGCTTGGCTCATGAACAGCAGGTGAGTCTGCAGTAATTCCGGAACACTATGTATTAATCAGCGCAAACATGAGCAGCATTTACCATAGGGACATCTGTCCGCGGACGTGTGCAAAGGTCATTATTCATAGGGAATAAGTAGCAAACCCACCAAACAACATCCATGATATCAAGATTCGCACTGTTTGGGAGCGTCGGTTTCAGTTGGTGCATATAGCGATATGGGAAATAAGAGTCAACTTTCCCTAGTCATGTCGTAGCAAAACTTTTTAGATCGCCGAGCTCAATATATATATGCACCAATAACATACCCTATCCGCCAATAATTAGAGGGCCCAACATAGCATCGGAATCGGAGGTCACCTTTTGTGATCAAGAACAGAGAGAGAGCGAGAGACGCAGCAGCGGGGGCTAGAGCAGGGACGCTGGATGCGCAGGAATGAGGCGCGGATGGGCAGATTGTTGGAACGGAGGAGTCATAGGGATATCACCAAACTCTGGAAAAGCAGCGGAGAGTTGTGTGTTTGGATGCGCAGGTGCCAGCTCGCTGTCGACGAGGACTCACCATATCCGAAGAATCAGAAGTGGAATAGTCTCCCCGCCGTATTCTCCCTTTGGCCGCCCTGTCCATATGTTCTCCGCCTGCATTCTGCGTAGAGTATTGGAAACAGAAAACCATCGTATTCCTCTCAGTTGGCAATTGAGAGGAAGACGTTGCATCAGATGAAACACGTGGATAGCAGTACAACAAGCCCAGGAAGCAGAGAGGATGAGATTCGTGGAGGAGCTGAAAGCGACTAACCGTACGAATGTCGCCAGGATGTGCAGATGACGCAGCATTAAATTCTGAATTATGAAAGGCAAAGGTTGACAGGATAGTCTTGCGGCATATAGGAGCATCTCGAATTACAAACGGTACCACACCACCAGCGGCGTAGATGTTCAAGTCAAGGGTTATCACACTGCTGTTCCCTAAAACCCAAGGCATTTCTCAAACTCGAAAGGTGGTAATATGTGTAGAATAAGGAATATAGGACATCAAAAAAGCAAGATAAGGCATCCTCCCTTTTTCTCCCATTCTTTTAGAATAACGACGACGGTTCCACTCTAAGAACCCAATCTCTCCACATCATCTGACGAGTTGGTAATGCATTCTCCAGAGATCAAATTATTGTTACAGGGCTGCCATTTGCTCTGCAAGCCGCTGAATGCTCTTTCACGTTCTCCAAGATGCCCGATCGTTGTAGTCCTCGAATGAGGAAGGCCAATTTTTCCAATGCTTCCTGAGCTCCTGATAGGCGTGCAATCTCTGGTGGAGGGTGTAAAGTGGTGTAAAATGATTTAGAGAGGGTCTCCATCACTCACAACAACCATATTCCCAATTCGCATGGAGTTTACTGGCGCAGACATTGACAGTCCTCAATTGATACTGACGCCTGCATATCCGTCGATCGATTGGCTCTTAAGGAGTTTAGTGATTTTAGAGGTACGGCGAGTGCCTTTTAGCGTTGTGTGAAGAGTCGTTCTTCACTTTTCTCTCCACGGCGTCCAAGGTTTGCAACGCCCGCGGAATATGGACCTCTAGATAGTATAGCCTGCTGGCCCCCTTTATCGTGTCCACCAAATTCATAAAGGCAATTATATAGTTCCACGGTCCTAATAATCAAAGGGCTGAAAAAATTGCCCTCCGTTTAGACAAAAGGATTGAGAGTCCGGAGGTAGATGATGCTCCTCTGGTATATATGTATATGCAGAATGCATACGCAAATCAACTGGAAGTCATTCCAATCCTTAATAAACCAAGCGCAATGGTTGAACGTATCTACTGATAGCGCTATCGGCCGTATATTGCGCGTGTACTCGTTCGAAGTGAGGCCATTTTCATCGAACTCAGTCGGGTTCCGGTTTAGAGATGTGGGGAAAACTGTTCGAACAGTAATATCATCTGCCACAGTTCAACCTAAATCCTCCCTTTTCCTTGAGGCGATCGTCTGTTTCGGAGGTTGCGAGGCACTGTAAAAATACATAAAAGGATAATGTCTGCGTCACATTTTCGCTATGGTCATTTGATCGATCACACCGAGAGAAGGGATATACTCCATGCGCGATCTCTGCAGAGATACGCCATTTGTAATCACGGAGCATCCAGTCCTCTCTTGCTGCTGGCCTGAAGGGGAAAGACCGTGGTTTGCCTTGTAGTAGAAGACCGGGTTATCGAGGAATAATTGGATCTCGTAAAGCTCAGACAGGTTGCCCTATCAGCTCGCTCATCACACTGGCATGTTCCAGCTCTAATTCTTTTGCAAACTTCATTCAATTGGCTGCAGGGTAACCCAAATCGGGGAAGTTGGACACAGGATCAACCAACAGACAGATGGGGTTTATTCGTGAAGAATGATGCCCCGTAGTTAATCGCTGAAGAGATGATACTGGTGCTCCATGTTCCTTTCCACCATACAACACCGCTCCAGCGATCTGGCGAGCGGAGGGGTTTAAAAAGAGGTAAGTATTAAACATGCCTGTTTACCCTCCTGGGAACGTGCTGATATAAAAGTAATAGATGGTAGATACAAAAGAGAGAGCGCCAGTATGCATCACGCAAATGTTGTCTCACATTTTCCAAGGCCCCAAGAAGGGATAGCAGATAGAGGTCAACTGATGCAGAAGTGGATACGACAATCTCTTCCTCTAAGGAATTCGTTAGTTCCTTCACATAAATCTAGGATTATAGCAGAAATATTATGAAAACAGTTTGCTCGAAGCTACGAGCTACCCAACTACATTGGGTTTTTAGTTAGGGATATACGGATGGATATAGTAGGAGAGAAAGAAGGCGGTTGGGAAAAGGAAAGGGGGGGGGGGACGGGGGCACTAGGGGTGAGCCAGTCTCTTGAGATGGAGAGTGGTTGAAAAACGGGAAGTAATGTTGTACGTTGAATGCAGATATTTGGTGAGTGAAAAGCATAGCTTTAAGCAGAAATGTCGTCAAATTGAATACAAAATTCAAGGACACCATTGTAATTGGTGGTTGAAAAGTGTGTAACTTCTATTTGCCATGGAGATATCTGTAGGAGCCCGGCCAGTTAATAGAGCCATGAAAACGGGAAAATCTTAGACATGGTGGGAATCTATATAACACTTTCAGTTAATTCTCAGCAAACATTCCGCCATGAGTAAATCTTCAGGTGCAGTAAACGAGGTGCCGTAACGATTTGACTTTCACTCACCTTCCCCAGAAACCTAACTAGGAAAACATACAACAAATGCATTCCATTTTACACGCCGTGAATAACCTACCACCAATCCCAGCCCCATAGCTATAAAGACAGAGCTCCAACCCACATGA